GTCATCTCTTGCCAGCACTTTATATACTCGGATGGGTTAAATATATAGGACTCACACTGTTACACCACTTTTGAGCCAGCGGTTAAGAATGTGTATTGTTCTTCCAGAAGTCAAGCATTCAGGTCCCAATACCCATGTCTGGTGGCTCATACTTGTCTATAACTCCACCTCCAGGGGATCCAATACCTCTCCATGGGCACCTGCACTCACAAGTACATATTCTTATACAGATGCACACAAATCCTTGCAAAATAAAAACTTTGAGATCCTAAATAAATTATCGCTTGCCTTAAAAAAGTCTCTAGTGTCATATTTAAATAACCAGAGAGTCAACCTTCTTTCATAAAATACTAAGATGGTCCAGGGGTGACATAACAGCTAACAAAAGATAATATAAGCAATCAGTTATTTGTTGGTAGAGGAGTTGAACCCAGGGCCTCATGTGTGTACTTTACCACTGTGCAATAGCCCCAAGTCCTTAGATAACAATCATTAACCAGAGATTTAGGGGAAAGGTACATTCCCTCATATGCCAACATATGAGATGTCTCAAGGTGAACAAAGATCTCTAAGTGCAGGGTACGAACACAGCATATATTTAGAAAAGACAGGTTAGCAATTTAACCAGTTTGGACTCAAGGCAAAGTATTTAATTAACAGAACAGCCTAATTCCTCCACTTTAGCCCTGCTGCCATGTGGACTGGGTAATTCTTTGTGATGGAGGCGCTGGGGTGCAAAGTCTGCACTGTAGGTTATTGATCGACACCACTAGTCTCTACTCATTAGATGCCGGAACATCTCTGTCTCTTATTCCATTAAAACTGTGGTTAAAAAAAAAAAAAAGTCTCTAAAGTACAAGTGTCTTCCCCACAAGACAGAGTCAATGTACTCATGAACTCAGCAGTGGTGGGTGCCAGAGTAAGACCGTCACAGAATCAAGCTGGTCAGCATTGCAGCGTGGCTCATGAGTCTTCACCCCAGCTGAAGAGTTACTGAGAGGTGACCACTTATGAGGGAGGGTACACTCCAGTTACACTCCAGCCGATGGCCCCACGTTCACAAGTATATGGACAGCACAAACTGGCCTCAATGGGTTATTTTAAAAAGAAAAAAAAAAGCAGGGTATGGTCTTGCATGCCTTTAATTTCAGCACTTGGGAGACAGAGACAGAAGATCTCTGAGTTCCAAGTCAGACTACAGCCTGGTCTACTCAGGGAGCCTCCAGGACAGAAAAAGTCAAAGTTTCAAAAAATACCAAAAAGGCAGCCAGGCCCAGTAGCAAAGGCCTTTAATCCTAACACCCAGGAAGCAGGGGCAGGCAGATCTCTGAGTTTGTGGCTAGCCTGATCTACAAAATGAGTTCCAAGATACTCCAGGGCTGTTACACAGAAAAATCCTAAATTGATAAAAACCATTCCAAAACAAAACAAAAACCAAAAAGGGGGCATCAAATTGAGAGGCAGCAGGGAGTGGATCTGGGAGGAGTCAGGAGAGAACTAGGGAGTAAGTAAGATTACAATACATTCCATTTGAAATTCTCAAAGAATAATCAATGTACAAAAAGTTTTCAGAAAACGTGCTGCTTTATATACTGAAGTAGTGCTCAATTCTCGAATTGAAAAGACCAACTAGAATTTATGAATTACTGTAAGTGTGTCCTTGGATAAGTCTGGCAATCAAAGGAGGCAGCCAGAGAAGGATGGTGAAAATACCCAAGCCTCTGGCAGGAACTTAGGAAGGCACTGCTGGCCCTTTTGAGATTTCCTGCTTTCCTTGCAGAACCTTGAAAGTTATAAGCACTTAGGTGTATCTCAGTACTCTTCATATTCAAATGTCCCTATAAAGAGGGTATTTGAATAAAGTACATTATATCTACAAAATACACTAATCTTTCTAAAAGGAAGGCAAGGCCTAGGACTTCTGTCCTGCAGCTGGCTGCAAGCTCTCTTGCAGGCTCTGTTTTTTTTTTTTTTTTTTTTTTTTTCTTCGAGACAGGGTTTCTCTGTGTAGCCCTGGCTGTCCTGGAACTCACTCTGTAGACCAGGCTGGCCTCGAACTCAGAAATCCACCTGCCTCTGCCTCCCAAGTGCTGGGATTAAAGGCGTGCGCCACCACCGCCCGGCGCAGGCTCTGGTTTGAATGCGTGGTGAAGCTCAGGTTCATTCACCAAGACATGGTAGTGTGTTTGAGTTCTACTCACATGGTGTGCAAACTGTGCCCTTGTGACAGGATTTCCAAAGCTGCCCAATAATTGACAATTTGGAAAATTTGAAAGACTCCCTTTTGAAAGCAAACAAAACTTGCAAGAATGGAGGGAGGAGAGTTTCTTGCTCTCTGGGCTGCCTCTGCAAGTAGGGCGCTTCAGAGATGCAGCAATATTGAGTTCCCACTCATGGAGGGGTGAGCTTTTCAGTGATCCAGCTGCCTCTGAGTGATCTGTACTCTAAAATACTCACTAGTTCACTATGCTAGCTGGCCTATTATTGGTATACTACCTGGGGTGACAGATGTTTGTTCATTTCTCCCCAGGGGAAGTTACACGGTAGGAAAACATGTATAATGTAGACATGCTTTCTTCTATATTTCTTTTTTTGAGACAAAGTCTCTTATGTAATTCAGGTTGGCCTTGAACTAGGTATGAAGTTGAGGACAATTTTGAATTTCTGATCTTTCTGTCTCTACTTCCTTAAATGCTGCTGGGATTACAGGTGTGTACTATCACATCTGCTTTTCTGTGATGCTAGAGATGTAACCCAGGGGTTTCTGCATGTGAGGCAGGCTTTCTACCATTCGAGTCACATGAGGACAAAGAATTCGTAAGTGAAATGTTAAATGTTTTGTTTTGTCTTATGCAATCAAGGCAGTTAGACTTGACCAGGATGTCAAAATCCTTGCAAAATTAGCAAGTATATAATAATCTTTTATCAATCATTGGTGACAGTATACACCACATGAGTGATACCAGCACTCAGGAGCCAGAGGCATAGGTCAGTACAAGTTCCAGGCCAGCCAGGATCCTGTCTTAAAAAACAAAACAAAGGAAACCACAAACCCAGATATACATATACAAACCACTATACAAAAATATATACTTTAGTCTTAGCTTCTCATCCCACATAAAACACAACCTCTTATCTGCTGTAAGTCAAGTTATCAATCACACAGTGGCTATCAATATATTATCAACCCGTGTGGTTTAATAGCCACTACTAGCTGCTACCTATAAATACTGAACTTGTACAGTGTGGCTAGTCATACTATAAATATAAAATTTATGCTGATTTTCAAAGATTAAGTGTTTTAAAAAATCAGCTTTTTTTTTTTAATTTAATTTCCTTTTTGGTGAGGAGAGTAGGGATTTGTTTATGTAACTAGCTTACAAACTGGCCTGCATCAGCCTCCCTTATGCTGGAGTTACAGGCAGGTGCCACCAAGCTGGACTTAGGTATGAGAATTTTAGCTAGTTACTCAAAGGCAATCAAACCAATGTCAAAATTATCTCACATAAAACAGTCAGACATGGTGGCACATACCATTCATCCCAGCACTCAAGAGGCAGAGACTGATGAATCTCTGTGAGATCCAGGCCAACCTGGTCTACATATTGAGTTCTGGGACAGCTAGGGTCACATAGAGAGAACTTGTTTAAATAGAAAAAAAAAAAGAAAACAAATAAATATATTTCAAAATATTATAATACCCACAAGAGTGAGGAAAGCTTAGAGAAAAGTGGCTCTGGAACCCTACCCATGAAGGGCTCCCACCTGCAAGCTTGCTACTAACTACATCCCAATTCTCACAAAGATGGTTTGTTTTTTTATAAAGAATTAAAATCTCCTCTTAGGTCAATATAATTCTTTTAGCCTGTGGTTGACCAATATTTACATTTCATGCCCAAATTCTTTTTAAATTTTCAACTATTCTTTCTTAATCAGAAAAATAAACATGCATGCATTAAAACATTTATCTAAAAAAGTTTGCAAGTTCTCAGGGTGTCTTTCAACTCTGACAATACCACGCGCTTGACTTCTGCTACTGATACTTACTAAGGATAGCTTCCTGTAAAGCACAGTGGCTTTCTAAAAGTCTGGAAAATAGTAGTCTACGTTTGTTTATGTGGAATGGCAGAGAGCAGGCACTAGTCCTGGTTAACTTTGTAGCATTCCAGGACAGTCAACCTACGATACATAGTTATATAGACCTAGCTACATAGACCTAGTCTCAAAACCAAGGAACACAACACAGGTATAGGTTGTTCCATCATTCACTTCTTTCTGTACCTCAATCGTACTTGGCTTTTATACTTCACAAGAAACAATTCCTATATACTAGTCCTGCAGACTCCAGCATCCCTTAAATGGTACAGACTTTTTTTTTTTCTCGGCGCACTCCAACAGTTTGCTAGTTTAAAGGCCAAGTTTGAAAGTCATGCTTATTTACGTTTCGATGAGAATCCACGCACTTCCGTTGCGTTTAAGAGGTCACTAAGGTGTTTTATTAGGTTCGTCCCCTTCACCAGAGACTTCGCTTACAATACCTTTTCCAAAACTCTATCAAAACCGGGAACTTTGAACATAATCTTCATCATTTCCCGTAGATTCTGGGTCATGCTGCTCATCGTGGACGCAAAGCAAGAGTCTGGGCTCTGCGAGAATGAACTCTGGAAGAGAAGTTTCTGAAAGTACAAGGACGTGGAAGGTCAAGTCTGCAAGCCCGGCCGGTTTTGCGTCACGCTCCGGAGGAAGGGTCGCGCGCTCCGGTCGCCCTAGTCCTTGAAGATGAAGTGTTGCCTTCACTCTCTAGCGCCCCAGCGCGCACGCGTAGCCTACCGGCCTTCTCCCCCTCCGTCCTCCCTCCGTCCTCCCTCCGTCCTCCCTCCCCCTCCCTCTCCCTCCTTCCCCGCCCGTCTCTGCGTCTTGCTTGTGCGCCCGGGGACCGGGGAGGGCGGTCTTCCCGCCGGAAGGTTGACGCGGAAGCATTCCACGCAGCGCGCCTGCGCAGGTCCCGGCATTTGTGATCAGTCGCGCGGAAGCGGCGTGAAGAGCGGGCGTTTTGAGGACTCCCTGCGGCGATGGCGTCTGGCAGCAATTCCGATGCAGCGGAGCCCGCAGAGCCGGCGGCAGCGCCCGCAGCAGCAGAGACGGAGGAGAACCAGGTGAAGAGGCGGCGGCTTCAGTGCCTGGGCTTTGCGTTGCTGGGGAGATGCGACACCACGATGGCCCCCACCTTCCTGTCGGAGAACAACTGGCAGACGCAAGTAAGTTCGTTTCTCGCTTCCATCGCTCTTCCCAGGTGGGCGGAGCGCGCCCTGCATCCTTGTCCCTTTGCTTTTCAGAAAGCGTTGAGCCCCTACTTCGGACAGCCAGAGAACGACCTAGCGTGGCCGCGCCAGCCTCCGACGTCCTTCAAGTCCGAGGCCTAGTAAGTGCCGGGGGGTCGCGGGCAGCTTGCGGGGATCGGGGAGGGACCGCCTGCTGGGGTTGGGCATCAGAGGACCCGACCTGGAAATGGCAGCCGGCGACCCAGGGCTGGGAATGCTTCTGGGGATGCACGGTCACTTCCCAGCGTGACTTGCCTTTGTTGTTTTGGGACGGGGTCTCACGGTGTAGCACTCGGCTACCCTGAAACTCACTATGTAAACCAAGCTGGCTTCGAACTCAGGGATCAGATTGCTTCTGCTTCCTTCGTGCTGGCACACTAGGACTTGCTGTTAACGTGATATATATTTTGGTCAGTGGAGGAAAAAAAATTGAAGTGTATTTATATATTTTGAGGCAGAGTCTCACCCTTTATCCCTCGCTGGCCTGAGCTTGGTGTGTAGACCAGGTTGGCCTCAAACACAGATCTATATTCTACCTGCCTCGGAATCTAAAGGGCTGGATTTAAAGTGTCCACCACCACACTTGGATGAAATTTTTTTTAATGTTACTGTTATTTGTTCTTTTTTTGAGACAGAGGCTTGCAATAATCCTGACCTCCAGCTCTTGAATCCCCTGTTCCAGTCTCCCTTTTGCTAGCATTACATCTGGTTCCAGCACTCCCCAGCTGAAATGTAACTTATTGTTTGATACATGTGTCCAGGCTGATTTGGAACTCCTGTGTGGTCAAGGCTTGACTTCTGCCTTCCACTTGTCCAGTACTGGGATTAAAGGTTTGTGAAACCCTGGCTACTGAAGTACACTTACTGACCTGAATTATTGGGGACCTGTAAACTGGAGATTAGAAAAAATGGAGGTAGACATTTTCAACTGAAGAATGGTAACCTGTGAGTCTCCTTGTTTCTACATTGTTTATCTGCTATCCTCTTGCCAGGGAATGATAGTCTTTTTCTTTGAGATAGGATCTCACAAGTTTGTCTAATTTGGCACAAGTTTGTGTGTAGTCCGGGCTGGTATTGAGCTCCTAGCAATCCTGCCTCAGCCTCTGGGAATTAGTCATCATACCAGCCAGGTTCAATATTTGTTTTCAGTGTGTGCTGTTCCTGTTGTTCAGTGCCCTGCCTCCGACTTTTATTGTTGTTGTTCTACTGTTTGCAGAATAAAACTAAGGTGCCTTACTGGGCCTTCTAGGGATTGGCCACTGTTCTTTCCAGAGTCTCTTACGTGGGAATTGTCTGTGTCATTCAGAAGAGATGGGTAATCATCATAAAACAGTTGTGCTGAAATTACTTGGAAATTTTTTTAGAAAATGTTGGGTCTCCACACTCCAGAGATTATGAATGAATAAGGAGTGGAGGCCACTTATCCAGGAGTGACTTTTGATTACCCCCTCACCTTCCACCCCCCCACCCCCCATTACTTGTGTGTAGGTTAGAGAACAACTCCATCTTGTTGGAGGCAGGGTTTCTGAAATGACCTGTCAGGCTTGTGTGGCTAACATTTTTACCAGCTGAGCCATATCTGAAGCCTGTGTCCTTTTCTGTCTTGAGAAGATCTAAAGGTGCCAGGAGCAAAAGGCTACATCTTATGCTTTGTTATTAGAATATAGACTCCAGCCAGCAACATTACCCCATTTGCGATTCTGGTAGACATGCAGACTTATCAAGCTCTATACCAGACCCACTGAAGCAGAATCCACTTTTTGTCAAGATCCCAGATTGTTTAAAGTTGAGAGGAGTGGAACATAGTGGAACATAGTGGAACATAAGTTATCATTTACTTTGTTTAAGGAGTCAATAAGTGATGCTCCCAAGATTGACTAGGCCTCTCAGTTACTTTAAGGTTTTTACTCAGCACCACATTTAGAGACTTTTTTTGCTTTTTTTTTGAGTGGAATTTATTTCTCAGGTTTACAGTTTTCTCTTGTTAAATGTCATGAAATTGTATTACAGTAAGACAGAAGAACAGGCAGCACACACACATTGAAGTGCAGCTTGTGAAAGAAATGACAGTGCGTTTGTTTTTGAAAGTGTATACAAGCCTGATTTTATGCAGGTGCCCACAGAGGCCAGAAGAGGGCATCAGAACCCTTGAAATTGGGATAAATGGTTATGAGCCACCCGTGACCCAAGTTGTCTGCAAGACCAAGTGCTCCTAAACACTGAGTGATCTCTTCTGTCTCAAACGTTTTCAGTTAAAAATGAAAGGCCTAACATCTGACAAGGTTCTGAAATTGCTTAGCCTTTTCTCTTTGGTAAGGCTGCAGAAAAAGTATAATATTGAATGTTAGGAAAGAAAGTTTTCTGAGATTGGTGAAGTTCCAAAAGGAACTTGGCTTTAAACATAGTTTTTGGTGCTCTTTAAAATTACTTTTATGCATACAGATGACTTTTAGCCAGATGTAGTGGCTTATGTTACTAGGGAAGCTGAGGCAGGATTGCCAAGGGTTTGAGGCCAGCTTGGGCTATGTATTGAGTCCTAGGGCAGACTGGAGATATACTTGTTATAAGTTCCTTATAAACTTAAAAACTTATATGTTTGAGGTCAGCAGGTATACATTTTGAAACCTTGTTTCAAAGAACGGGTTGACAAAATATTTTGCTTTAGAATTGGCATTAAATTATCCTGCATCAAGACCTTGGCTTCTAATCTTCACTATAAAGAACACGATGGCTGATGCTAAAGCACAAATCAGTGGGATGGAAGGAGAACGTAGAGTCCTCTGCAGTGCTAGGAAGTAAGGGAGTAGCCAGAGAATGTTGAAAACATTCCAGGAAAACGGGACTAAGGTAAATTTGGAGAATACTTGGGTATTTCAGAACAGATTGTAGTCTGCACAATAAAATATGAATCCATATGTAAGTATTGCTGTTTGTGGAAGAATTGACATTTTTATTTTTAACAATTTATTCATTTTATGTACATGAGTACACTGTCTCTGTCTTCAGACACGCCACAAGAGGGCATCAGATCCCCATTACAGATGGTTGTGAGCCACCATGTGATTGCTGGGAATTGAACTCAGTACCCCTCGAAGAACAGTCAGTGCTCTTAACCACTGAGCCATCTCTCCAGCCCAACAAGTGACTATTGTAGGAAAATTTAAACTGCTAGATTTCTAAGTCTTGAAGAATTAGAAAAATCTTTTGAGAACTTTTCAGAACTTTTAAATGGTTCAGATAAGTACAATCAATGGACAGTAAAACCAGGATGAAAGTCAAGTCATAAACAAGATGCTTCCATAGTGAAAGTCCACAAAATACTAAGTAGAAAGGGAAAAATCAGTACTTTTCAGTGGGGATATTTGGTTAACACCTTAACCATGCATTGGTAATGCTGTCATTCCTGTCCCAAAGTGCATAACTAGAGTTGTAAGAAAGCAGTTTAACTAAAGGATTCTATAAAACAAATGGCCTGTACTCTTCAAAAATGCTTCGTGAGAAAGACTAAAAAAAAGATAGTCTATTGGTGGTAATGGAGCTCACAGTTCAGGTTGTATAGTGTGTATGTATCAAGGCTTTGACCAAGGATAGAAAGAAGTAAGTGGTTTGGAAAGAGACTAAGGTAAGTAATTGATAATGAAATAAGAAAATGTTGGTATTTGGAAATTTTGGGTACATAGTTGGTTAGGGATTCTATTTTTACTGCTTTACTGTTTTGAAAGTCAGTAATTATAAGAATCAAAAGTTGCTGGGCAGTGGTGGTGCACGCCTTTAATCCCAGCACTTGGGAGGCAGAGGCAGGCAGATTTCTGAGTTCGAGGCTAGCCTGGTCTACAGAGTGAGTTCCAGGACAGCCAGGGCTATACAGAAAGACCCTGTCTCGAAAAACAAAAACAAAACAAAAGAAAACAAAAAAAAGAATCAAAAGTTAACAAAATTCCTGAAGCTATGTCAAAGAAAGCCATTGTTTGTGGTCATACGGAAGTTGTATAATTAGTGCACAGGAGGATCACATTGTGAAACAAGGAGTCAAAGTTTTTGAAGCAACTGTAGGAGAAAAGTGTTCCCTCTAAGGGCAGACACACGCATGCCAGCATGTGGAGACAGGACAATGTATAGCTGTCTTTTTACCATATGGGTTCTGGAGGTAGAACTCAGGCCATCAGGTGAGACAACAAGCACCTTGATGTACCAAGCTCTCTCCGGCCCAACTTTTGCTTATCTATAGAGTCTTAGGATTCTTCAAAGAAAATTATTTATGGGATAAATATCCGTTATCTGAAGTGCTTGGGACCAAAAATTATTTGAGTTTCATAGACAATTTAGAAGATAGATTTTCTGATTAGGAGTGATTTGCTTATATCTTCAAATTGAGGGCAAACATGTACAACAAAATTCAAACAGTCTGTACGTCTGTTTGGAAGCCAGAGGTCAGATTTGGGTTCTCCAGAAGTAGTTCTCCTTGATTTTTTCAGGCAGTCTTTCCCTGGGATCATGTACTCACCATGTAGAGTAAAGCAGGTCTCAGTTATCTACTGGTCTCAGCCTCCCAGTGTTGACAGAACAAGTATGCCACAGCTTCCAGTGTTTAATGTGGGGATTCTTGCCTCCACAGCCCCCAAATACAACAATGTATAATTTGGTTTTTTTTTTTTTAACCTTTATTTTGATCTTGCCAGTGTTGATCTAACCAACGAGGATGCAAATGATACCGCCATTTTAGAAAGCAGCGCATCGGGAAGTCCTCTAGAAGACAGCAGCACTATCTCCTTCATTACCTGGAATATTGATGGACTAGATGGATGCAATCTCCCAGAGAGGGCTCGAGGGGTGTGCGCCTGCCTCGCTCTGTAAGCACTCTCATTTCTGCGCCAGGGACTGGGATCAGTGTTTGAACGGTTCTACAGAGCAACAGTTCAAAGTTTGTACTTGAAAATTTGACTTTTAAGCTCAGCTTCTAAGTAAATATTTGAGAGTTGAGGTGTTTTGGTTTAGGGAGGGTCTCAGGGTGAATTGGAACACCAATTTATGTGAGATGCTTTCTAGAATTGTAAGCTTTACATACATAGTAAGTTTTGTTTATAAGTATTGTTATAAAGTGAAAGTTACCTACAAGATCTGTTTCTGGCCTTATGAGAACTTTGTGGCTAGGTAAAGCACTGAAGTCCTCTGGAGATGCTGTCACCGGACAGCTTTTAAGAGAACCTGAAGGGAGAACGCGGACTATATCTCTTGGTGTATATAACCGTTGCAGATGCTCTGTGTAGTGTATAGAGTGCTTTCTGTTTTCATTCCACTGGTGTATCGTGTGTGGGTGATATGTAGGGGGATGCTGGGATTGAATTTGGCCTTGTTAAGCAAGTGTTGTCACTGAACTACACACCCAGTCTATTGGTCATTATGGCACTGTGTAGAAAATAATATATAGATAAAGGGGCAGTATAAGCATTGAGTACTAGGGCTTCAGGTAACAGTTGTTTTATATGTATATATTGTGGAATTTTCTCTAGGAGGCTGAAAATGAATGATATGCTGCTGTTGTTAAATTGCTCATTTTAATTAGGTACAGTCCAGATGTGGTATTTCTACAGGAAGTCATTCCCCCATACTGTGCCTACCTAAAGAAGAGAGCAAGTAGTTACAAAATTATTACAGGTAATGAATGCTCTCCTTGCCATCTAAACTACACTTTGAAAAATGAGATCAATGAAGGAAAAAAATGAGAAGCTGTTACAAAGGGCACAAATGGGTTTAAGGAAACTAAACAAAACATGGGATACTTTGTTGCTGTTGTTGTTGTTTTCTTTTTTTCTGAGACAGGGTTTCTCTGTATAGTCCTGGCTGTCCTGGAACTCACTCTGTAGACCTGGCTGGCCTCGAACTCAGAAATCCACCTGCCTCTGCCTCCCAAGTGCTGGGATTAAAGGTGTGCGCCACCACTGCCCCGCAAAGATTTATTTAGTTTATGTATGTGAGTACACTGTTGCTTTCTTCAGACACACCAGAATTGGGCACCAGATCCTATTACAGATGGTTGTGAGCAACCATGTGGTTGCTGGGAATTGAACTCAGTACCTCTGGAAGAACAGTCAGTGCTCTTAACCACTGAGCGATCTCCCCAGCCCTGACACAGGATACTTAAAGTTTATTTTACAGCTTAATGTTACTAAATAGAAAAATAATTGAAACAGATATTTCTTTTTAGGAAGACAGAGTTCCAAAATTTCATACTTGTAATTTTGCTAAAATTGATTATTGAGGCATGCCCTTATCACCCATTTGTTCTTAGTTAAACATCATTTGTTTCTCTTGTTAAATTTTGATAAGGAACAGAAACATAGCACTTGATTGACCTACTTCAAAATGGAGGCTTAAAGATTTGATCCCATATAAATGATTTGCTCTTTCTTATAGTAGAGGAGCTTGTAAAGTGAAAGTATCCTGTTGTGGTAAATCTCTAACTCCAGTAAGCCTGTACAAAGAACACACAACTAACTCACTTGTAATATTTATAAGCTGCACACCTAGCACTACACTATGAGATCCCTTGCTACTCGTGGCTCCTCCAGGCCACGTGGTTCTGCCCCATCTTCCTTCCACCTCCTCTTCCTCCTCCTTGTCTCCTCCTCCTTCCTCTCCTCCCTCTCTAAAACCTCAAGCCCCCCACCTTTCCCTTTCACTACCCAATCACAGGCTCTAACCTTTATTTGATTAGTTAAAATGGGAAGAGGTTCATATGAATTCACCTGAGTATGTGATTCACTCCTCCACTCCTGGTCGGGGCAGCCCTTCTTTTTTTTTTTGGTTTGGTTTGGTTTTTCGAGACAGGGTTTCTCTCTGTAGGGCTGTCCTGGAACTCACTCTGTAGACCAGGCTAGCCTCAAACTCTCGAACTCAGAAATCCACCTGCCTCTGCTTCCCAAGTGCTGGGATTAAAGGCGTGCGCCACCACTGCCCGGCTCCGGACAGCCCCTCTTGAGAAAGTGGAGTTAATATCAAAATATAAACAGCACCAGGGCAATCTACAACACTTCCCCCTTTTTGTCCAATGAAAAGGCTCTTTTCTTTCAGATATAGATTAAGTACAACTATTACAATTATGTAATTTATAAAGTATAAGATACAGTTAACACCCAGTCCGTCAATTGACTTTCTTCTCTAAATTTTTTCCACAAATGTTTGAAGGTAATGAAGAAGGATATTTCACAGCTATACTATTGAAGAAAGGAAGAGCGAAATTTAAAAGTCAAGAGATTATTCCTTATCCAAATACCAAAATGATGAGAAACCTTCTGTGTGTAAATGTAAGTTTAAGTTTGGGGTGTTTTTCCGTTTGGTTGTTTTTTTGGAGGGATCGCCTTTACAGATAAATTTATAAAGGCATCTTTGTGTGTGTGTGTGTCTATCTGTATCAGTCAGTCAGGGCTTTTAGGATTCAGTTCACTCCTTCCACCACAGGTTCTAGGGATCAAACTCAGGTTGTCTTGGCAAAGGCTCTTACCTCCTGAGCCATATGACTGGAACAATTTTTTAAACTCTATTTGTGTCTGGAGGTCAGGACAACTTCTGGGAGTCAGTTTTCATTTCTCACTGTGGTTGTGTGTATTGATTTCAGATCCTCAGGCTTGTGAAGGAAGTGGTTACGGCTCACTGGCCATTTACATTCTTTTTTTTTTTAAGATTTATTTATTTTTAATGTATATGAGTGCACCATCCCTATCTTTGGATATACCAGAAGAGGACCCTATTACAGACCCTATTACAGATGGTTGTGACCCATGTGGTTGCTGGGAATTGAACTCAGGACCTCTGGAAGGGCAATCTGTGCTCTTCACCACTAACCTATCTCTCCAGCCCTACACACATATTTTAAATAGCCTCAGAAAACTTGGATTTCATATAATTTTAGATGTAATCTTTAAACTGTAGAATAAATATGCAAAATGCAAAATAAACATGCAAAGTTGAATTTTTAATTGATTAGATATTTTCTTAAGAATGTGACAACAGGCCGGGTGGTGGTGGCGCACGCCTTTAATCCCAGCACTTGGGAGGCAGAGGCAGGTGGATTTCTGAGTTCGAGAGTTTGAGGCTAGCCTGGTCTACAGGAGTGAGTTCCAGGACAACCAAGGCTACACAGAGAAACCCTGTCTCGAAAAACCAAACCAAACCAAATCCCCCCCCCCAAAAAAAAGAATGTGACATCTGTTGGCTAAGAAGAACATTTGTCAAGTAATTTGTTACAGTAATGAGAAAGATAACACAGCACATAGATAACTCTAAGGAGCACACTAGTACTTAGTTGACAGTTGAGGGAAGGCATGGTAGTGGGGTGAGAAACAGCTAGTCCTACAGGGCTGCTGCAGACCAGGAATTAGATGAATGTGGTGCTCAGCTCGCTTTCTCCTTTTGTCTTCAGTGCATGAATACACCCATGACAAACCTTTGCCAGTTGCAGCAAGGGTAAACCTGTGGGTGTGGATGAGCTTATGTTGATGTTGGTGTGATAAACACTGTGCTAGTTATTTTTCTAATTTGTGTGACAAAGTATCTGGCAAAGGCAATCTTAAAAAGAAGAGTTTATTTTGAGATAGTTGTAGGGCACTGGCATCATGGTAAGGCAGGAGCAGCTACTCACATTGTGTCCACAGTCAGAAAGCAAAGTGATAACTTCTGGTGTTCAGCTCGCTTTCCCCCTCTTCTTAGTTCGGGACCTCATCTCCCACTGGTGCCCCTTAACATTTAGGGTAGGTCTTCCCACCTTAAGTAAGCTAATCTGAAATTTCCCTCAGACATTCCCAGAAATTTTCCTTCTAGGTGATTCTAGATTCTATAAAGTTGACAGTATTACTGCCATCCTGAGTGTGAAGAGGTAGTGGAGTGTTGACAGGAGGTTAAGATGCAGGCAGGATCCAGATTATAGGTTTGAACGAATTAAAATGATTCTGTAGGCATTGCAACACACTCTGTGTACTAATATCTTAATTGCAAATGATAAGTGACTTTCACTCAGTTAACATTATTTTTTGAGTATCTGTGCCTGGCCATTATTGGAGCAGTAAATAAGAGTTGTCTGTGTGTGCAAGTAACTGTGGTTTCATGGGACAAGGAAGTCGCTGTCCTTTTACTTGTTTGGGACCTCTTACAGCAGTCTGTTTACCTTGGAATTGGATCCTAGAGAGGTGTGAGCCATTGATGGCCTGGAGCTACTGGAGAAGGGGCACTTATCTGTTACCAGCACTAGTGGTCAGTGGCCAGTTCAATTGTAATTATTCTGTTGTAGGTGAGTTTGGGTGGAAATGAATTTTGCCTTATGACATCCCATTTGGAGAGCACCAGAGAACATTCTGCGGAACGAATAAATCAATTAAAAACTGTTTTTCGAAAAATGCAAGAGGCTCCAGATTCAACTACTGTTATATTTGCAGGAGATACAAATTTAAGAGATCATGAAGTAAGTAACAGAATTGATTCAATGTTTGTGGGGAGAGTATTGCTATGGAAATTAATTTGGATTCATTTTATCCAAGGTATTATGGACTTGAAATACAAGGTAGAAAACACTTGTAGTTTTTGTATAAAATATGCACAAAAGAAGCCTTTATAATACTAGGGGAAACCCTGCTATATGTTAGATAAACAACAAGTATTAGAATAGGATAATAATTACAAGAATTTAAATTTAAAAAGTTGAGGGTCTTTGTAGCATTCCTACATATAAGAAGACCTAATCCTCTTGTGAGTTGAAATCAACTTTTTAAAATACTTTATTGCTGCATGTGGTGGCCCATGCCTTTAATCACAGCACTTGGGAGGCAGAAACAGGCAGATCTCTGAGTTCGAGGCCAGCCTGGTCTACAGAGTGAATTCTAGCACAGCCAGGATTGCAAAAAAAACCTTATCTTGAAAAATAACAACAAAAGTTGTACTTATAAGTCATAATATCAAACACCTTTTAAATTGGGGGTGGGGAGTAAATGTATAAACCTTACATAATATTCTTTCTCTTGCCAGGTTATCAAATGTGGTGGTTTACCTGACAATGTTTTTGATGCTTGGGAATTTTTGGGCAAACCTAAACATTGCCAGTATACATGGGATACAAAAGCAAATAATAATCTCAGAATTCCTGCTGCTTATAAGCATCGTTTTGATCGAATATTTTTCAGAGCAGAAGAGGGACACCTTATTCCCCAAAGTTTAGACCTTGTTGGGTTGGAAAAACTGGACTGTGGTAGATTTCCTAGTGATCACTGGGGGCTCCTGTGCACATTGAATGTAGTATTGTGAAAAGCTCCCCAAATTCCAGCTTTAACTGTCTGTTTGCACTAGTTCTGAATTTGTTCAGATCTCAACCTTTCAGGAAAGCTAGGTCTAATACAAAAGAATTCATAAACTGGATGATGAATACAGCAAAAGCAATTAACGTCTTTATATCGTGTGTCCTCAGAGTTAAGAATTGGTGTTTGTAATAAATCAAAGCATGCTTATGTTCAGAATGTGTGGGCTTTTGTTTAAAGGACATAGCTTCTCAGCTTGTAACAGACTTGTTGCCATCAAGACTTCAAGTAATGGACGTTATCTCAGGGCTAAGTATTGTTTGAATTAGACACCAGTATGATTTAAATCATTTTATTAAGAGAAAAAGTAAGCCATTGAATTCCTGAGACTGCATTGTCTTACATTCTGTAAGTTCAGAAACTTAAGGGAAAAAGCCATGGCCAGCTGTAGTGAAGTAGATGACAGCTGTTGTATAGCAGACTTAATTTTGTCAGCTGCTGGTGTATAGTCACTAAGTGATAAGTCACATTTTCACTTTGAGTTCTGTTCTGATTTACAGTTACTTTGAGTAACTGTTCTGATTAGTGTTCATAATTTGCTGATAACTGACAAAATTTAGCTTGGCAATGATTAAACTCAACAACATGAGAATTTTTTTTTTCCCTAAGAGGAAAGTTCAGAAGAAAAGTAACTTTCAGTTTTTTTACTGGTAAGATGGGTATGCTTTGCAGAGGGACTAAAGAATACTTTTTTTTTTTTTTTTTTTTGTAAATGGTCTGTAAAGAAAAATGTACTGTAAATAAAGTGTTTTATTTGTAGACTGAGTATGACTTTTTCATTTGTGGTGGGATTTGTCGCTCTATTGATATTGGGAAAACAGCCCTCCATGTTACTTTTCAGTGGGAATCACCAAATATGTATTGTTCTATTAAATTCCTGACACTTTGGAGGCTGGGGCAGGAGGATTCGTGTAAGGCTAGCCTAGGGTATAGAGTAAGACACTGACAAAAATAAGGAAATTTAGAATGAAGTGACATTTTTACCTGTCATCCCCAAATTAAAACACCTAAAACCAATTTGAACTTATAAGAGGGTGGTATGCCTTTCATACTGTTAAAGGAAAGGACAGGAACTGTCTATTTTAATCATACTTTTAAACATTAAAGCTTGAAGGAGCAGTGTGATGCGCATATTTAAGCAGTGTAATAGAGGAGGGTGGTGCATCTTTATGTGGTAGAATTAAGTGTAAAAGACCACTATATGTCACATTGAAGAAACACTGAAATGGGTTAATATCACAATATGAAATATGTAGTATACTATTAGGCCATCAATTATAAAAACATGAAAGTATAATTTTGTTTATATATCTATATGATATAATTTCCTTGTTTAACTCTATGACAAAATATAAGTCAGGAGAAAAGGAACATAAGCCACTGTTGTCTTTAAGATTTATTTTTTTATTTAGTGTATATGAATATACTGTAGCTGTCTTCAGACACACCAGAAGGGGGCATTGGAACTCATTATAGATGGTTGAGAGCCACTATATGGTTGCTGGGAATTGAACTCAGGACCTCTGGTAGAGCAGTCAGTGCTCTTAACCACTGAGCCATCTCCAGCCCAATTTGTAATATCTTGAGGGGTGCTTTTGATTTTGATTTTTAACAGAAAACAAAAAATCTCTTTCGTGAAATTCCTGCTCTTAAATTGATAGCAGACAAGTAGTCTGCCATTGAACTATATCATGAGGCCAAAGGTTCAGTGACCCTGCCCCATAGCAGTGTTTGCCATCCATGTGCAGTGTACAGTGTATTTTAACCTTGTTGAACTTTACTTTGTCCCTTTTCAAAAAGAGTACCATATTGCTATTTTGCAAAATTTCTTAGAAAACATAGAAGTGAACAATCAGGAAAAAAAAAAGAAAAAAACAAATGCTTGAGTCATTTCTCTTTAAACCTGTCTGGTAAATGGGGGAGGAAGGGTGGGGTGGGTGCTCAGTGAACATCCACTGAATACCGGAGATGTACTCTCACACTAGTCTGAAGGAGACTGGCATTTCATTCAACACATTGATGATGGACAAATGAAAGAAAAGCTGATTTTAGTTTTCACGGTAAGCAGTTCAGGTGTTTTGGAAGGAGAAAAGTTGAAAGTAGGTCCTCATTTTATAGTTGCCTGTAGGGATGTGTAGTTGTTTATCTCCGTTAGTATCTCTGATGACCTCGTCTGTTTTGCTCCTAAATTTATTTGTCATGATGAGAGCTGGGAGAGTTGTATACTGATGTAACTGTTTCCAACTTTGTCAACGACTCAGTGTCTCCTGAATTTCTTCACTGCCTGCATCTTTTCATTTCTCTAGCTATCGTTAAATACGTACCACAAGAGGAGGAAATGTCTTCCTTCAGTGAGGTTTGGTGTTTGCCCTCTAAGCTCATTTGACAATTAACAATTTTCCCCCTTTTTAGTCCATGTTTATTTTTATTCTCAGTCTTATTTTTTGGTTTTGCCAGACAGAGTCTCTGTGTAGCCTTGGCTGTCCTGGAACTCCCACTGTAAACCATGTTGGCTTTGAGATATGGCTGCCTCTGCAACTGGAGGGCTGGGATTAAAGGCCTGGGCCTTCTCTCCGTTTTATAGCTCACTGTCTTCACCTTAGTGGCTCATTATCTCCATTTGTTAACACGTTCATCCTGTATGGTGCCTTTAAATGTATGCCGTTTGTAAGTACACATGTGGAGGGCAATTTGTGGAATCATTTCCAATTTTATGTGGGTCTTCAGGGACTTAACTTAGGTCATCAGACTTGGTAAAGTAAATCCCTTTACTGGCTGAGCCACTCACTGTCCCTACTCTTAAAAGAAAAGTCTCACTAAGTAGCCTGGGCTGGCTGGGAACTTGCTAGACACTAGGACAGCTTCAAATTCGGTGATCACCCTGACTTGCCTAACTGTATCTGGCTTTTTAATTAATTTATTTATTTATTTATGTATTTATTTATGTATTTATTTATTTATTTTGGGTTTTTCGAGACAGGGTTTCTCTGTGTAGTCCTGGCTATCCTGGAACTCACTCTGTAGACCAGGCTGGCCTCGAACTCAGAAATCCGCCTGCCTCTGCCTCCCAAGTGCTGGGATTAAAGACCTGCGCCACCACCGCCCAGCTAATTAATTGTTTGAAAGAGTGTTATGTAGCCATTCTCCTGCTTCAACCTCACGAGTCCTAGGGTGGACTACTGCTCTTGGGTCATCTCCATTTTCTAACAAGAGACATTTAGTAGATTTGTAACTTGTCTGATGTGTCTTCCACAAAGACGACAGTGCAGGCTTATTCTGGTGTGCAACTCAGTCGTTAAGCCATGATGGGATGTATAAAGAATACTCTGCCCATCCTTTCTGCCCCTTGATACCAATTCCTAGACACTTTCATGCCCTTATTACAATACTAAAAATACAAGGAATAGTGTTCCACTGACTTGGAATTTCCTCTGACTCAAGATTCACACAAGACACAAATGTTGAAATGCACTCAGCACCCATTTAACCTCCAAAAAGAGTTGATCTGTATCGATGTAGGTTCAGTTTACCATTCTAGAGTTTAAAGGAGCACTTAAAACCAAGAAGATAAGTTATTTGGGGGTGGGGGGTGGGGATATCGTGCAAAAGGCTTGGCTGAAAACAAGACTTGAATAATCAGGTGGCTTGGGAGTAGTCTGAACAAGCAGTGCCTGCTGCCTGGGTGCAGCATTTGCCTGTCCATCCCTTCAACGGTTTGGAATCATGGCAGTAAAGAGGTGGGCGAGGGACCAGAGCAGGGGAACAAACAGAGGGCCCTCTGCTTAGCGGGGCAGTGAGGGCTGCAGCACAGGCCATCCCTAGGGGCGTGTGTGCGCGTGCGTATGCGTCGCCCTGGTTACCCGGGAGGCAGAAAGGCGCTGAATCACCAGCGCGGGCTGGCAGCGTCTGTCTGTGCAGCCGCAGGGGTGGGCAGGTGTCGCCTGCAGGTGTGCCTCGCAGGTGTCCCGACTGGACATCAGCTGCTGGGCGGTCTGGAGCACCACGGAGCCTGGAGATCCACTGGATATGGAGGTAAGAGCTGCACTCAGCTGCCTGCGTTCCTGTTTGGATCGATGGGTTCTCAGCAGGGTGGAGTCAGGGAGACTTGGGCGGCTAACCTTAAACCTAAGAATCGGTTTCTTTAAAGTTCATTCAGTGCTGGCATTTGCTAAATGCATTTCGTACCTGCTCTGTGCAATAGTCAGAGGCTTTTAATCTGGACTCCAGGTCCCCGGATTTCTAGCTAGGGTGTAGTTGGGGTTCCTCCTTACCTCTGCTTAGTGATGAAGGGTATGAATGTGGTTTTGAGGTTGAGCGGTGGGGTGTTGAATGAAGCTCCAGTGAGCTAGCAGTGCCCAACTTCAGTGGCCCCAGCAGCCACCTCAGGTGCAGAACCTCATCTCCCAGCCCAGCTGGCCAACTGTCAGCAACGAAGACAGCAAGCAGGTAGGAGGTGCCAGTGAAAAAAGCCAAGAAGGGGATTTCTAAGGGTTCCTCTGAACACCTAGGAAAAGCAATCCTGGATAGTTGCATGATTTGGTTTCCCTGTTTCATGGAGGTGGGAGATTTGGGGATCTTTCCAACCTTTTAAATTGCATGCCTCAGACTGAAGAATTATTACCTTTAAATTTCGTTTAGAGCTGTTGATGTGGTCCTTGCTACCATTTACCAAATGCATTTATCTCCCCTCTTTACCGTCACCAGAAGCTTAACGCTGTTTAAAGGCTTTCTTTCCTGCTCTTTGAATTCCCTCCAAGGAACAGATTTATCAGGATCACAAAGCTGGTATCGCTAGTCATCGTTCTCAACACCATTTGTTCTCAATGAAGGGAGAAAGCAAGCATGATTATATTCATGCTCATCTTTACTGAACATTTTCGTTTGTGGATTAGATGTTGATATTTTTTCGTAGTGCTTGAACAGAAAAGCTGAGTGGTATTTTTATTAATAATGGAAAAAATACAGGTCACATTTCCTAAAAAACACAAAAATTGTCAAGGTGAATGTGTGTATTTATTTATACTTGAAAAGCATGGTGCCTGGGAAAGTTCCTCAGTGAGACGACTGAAGTTATGTCATATGTAAATTTTTATTTTGTGCTCATGATTTTACTTATTTTTAATCCAGATGGGGCAAAGTAGAGATATCAATTCAGTTCT